GAGAGAGAGAGAGAGAGAGAGAGAGAGAGAGAGCATACCTTGGGATCACTGGATTGTTGTGCAAATTTGGTGATGTGTTCATTGATGTGTTGGTCTTCGGCGGTGTTGTCTCCCAACCAATTGATGGTGAAATAAATGCTGTCATCGAAAGACTTGATCTCATTTGAATGGGAGGTCTCGATCTTATGGCCGCCACTCCTCTGCGGCGTCTCATTCAGCAACACATGGCTTAAGAGATTGAGTAAATAAATGGTCACTAATAATACATTCGGTGATAGTCTTGAGGCGCGGATCAAATGGACACGCATTGCAAACACCAGTCACTGACGGACGACAACCAATGGATCGCAAACAAAGTCAACCAAATTATGTGTGTTTTAAACACCAAAACAAAAACTTATAAAACAATTAAAACTGAAAACCAAATCAAAGCCTAAATTCATATCGCGTTTAAAACACACGTCATGTTTGCTGTCCGACAACAGAGGTATACAAATCACAACTCATACACAAAATCGTATACAGACTTAGCGTTGAGGGGTTGCCTAAAACGAGTGTCGCATTGCGTAACAGTGTTTGCGAACAGTCGTGTTGTGGTGTTTATAAACAGTGGGCAATCACTGGCAGTGTTTTGATTGACAACTCATTGAAACAACAAAATCAATGATTGTTTGTATTGTGTATTCAATTTAAATTGACACACAATTTACCATCAGTTATATGTTTAATAAATACAGTTATGCTTTCATTTCATACACTTGTCATTAAAAAGCTATGAAAATGTGATTTTTATTGCACTTTAAATTTGGTGTTTACTAAACGAGTGGTTAGTTTTGTGTCTCACAATTCAATTGTGATTTAAAACTAGTTTTTAAATTGTTTTCAAACTTTTGTTTCGTTTCAATAGTTGTTTAGTAAATGTGTTTTGCATTTCAAATAGCAATAAGTAATCAATACATTATATTAGAGGAGTATTTGTGTTCATAATTGCAATAATGTATACAAAATCATATGTGACTGTAATAGTGGTGATAATGACCGGTATGTTATGGCCGGTCCACACGTTTCCCAATCAGGGCAAGTGGTCGTACACCGTCTCACAGGTACTGCACATCACTAACACTACCACTTCCTCATGAGTTGCCATTAATATGTGTTTGTCTTTGAATTGTAGCGAAAGTGTCACTTCTTTGAAGTGAACACAGCTTTGTATCAAAACTCAACCATTTCTATCAAAAGTAAGATTTGTTTTGCGCTAATCATTGAATTGATGTCTAATTTGTGTGTCATTTATGAGTTTAGTCTCATGTGATTCGCAAGAGGACAAAGACATGTCCGTCAAGATTGGTTGGACTATACGCGAGACGCCCTGTTTTGAAGAGTATTTGGGACCAGAATTATCGGTCAGTAATGATTGAATTGAAGGACAATATTATAATGGGTTTTATGTGAAATAAATTGATTGAATTAAACTAGGTTGTCAATGGGCTAATGAACTTCACCATAATGATAACAGGCCGATAAGACAACCCGCTAAAGCCGATGCTATCCCAGGTGATAGAATTCTGGTTGCTCTAACTCTAGTTTACGTTTCAATTGAAAACATTATCTGTGCGTTATTTTTACTTTAATTTTTTGAAAAGTTTTTGTTTAAATTTTAGATAATTACATGAATTATACTCATATGAAAATGATTAGCCAAAAACCGCGTTTAAAACCGATGCAATTGGTTTGAATACCAGCAAAACCTGTTCCCCACCCGACCGCGTGTGCACCTCATCTCCTGAGACAACATTTCTCACACTAATTGGCGACTCATCGGAGGCGCGGACTATTGACTCGGCGCCCAAAAGTGTGGCCAAATCGGAGAAAAAACGGTCGCATTTAGTGGAAAAGCTGCCGACGCCGTTGTCCAGAAGGCGACGCGATTTAAATCGGATGACATCCGTATGAATAGAGATGTCATTTGTCTTAAAATAACATTTAATTTTATAACTTATTTAACAGATGTCCGAAAATGAATTAATTTGATCCAACAGTTACCCGATTACTTGAAGTGGTATTACTATTGTCCGGCTATTCTGTTGGGCGATTTCGGCTACGATAGGGTCCACTATCTTAAGACCAACGAGATTGAGATCAAATGCAACCAATTGAAGACATTATCTGTGCGTTATTTTTACTTTAATTTTTGAAATGTTTTTGTTTAAGTTTTAGATAATTACATGAATTATACTCATATGAAAATGATTAGCCAAAAGCCGTGTTTAAAACCGATGTAATTGGTTTGAATACCAGCAAAACCTGTTCCCCACCCGACCGCGTGTGCACCTCATCTCCTGAGACAACATTTCTCACACTAATCGGCGACTCATCGGAGGCGCGGACTATTGACTCGGCGCCCAAAAGTGTGACCAAATCGGAGAAAAAACGGTCGCATTTTGTCGAAGAGCTGCCGACGCCGTTGTCCAGAAGGCGACGCGATTTAAATCGGATGACATCCGTATGAATAGAGATGTCATTTGTCTTAAAATAACATTTAATTTTATAACTTATTTAACAGATGTCCGAAAATGAGATAATAGTACCGAACGATGGCGTCTATCTGTTGATCGTTTACATCGAATCGACAGATAATAATAAACTTTTCAACGCCGAAGGTTTGGTTATAACTATTTCCCGGAGTTTATTGTGTTTTATAATTTGCAAACATTTAAAATAATTAGTTGACATCGAAATGAAAAGCAAAAGTGGACAACACTTATCGGCTATTGATTGGCCACTTTTGCCATTTTACGGTGTGATGTGTGGCGTATACGTGCTGTTTGCCTTCGGGTGGCTCTTCGTGTCGTTCACCCAATGGCGAGATCTGTTGCGCATCCAGTTCTGGATCGGAGCCGTCATATTCCTCGGCATGTTTGAGAAAGCGGTCTTCTATGCAGAGTATCAGTCGATCAATTCGACCGGTGTTTCGGTGAAGGGAGCCGTTCTGTTCGCCGAAATACTCTCTTGTTTTAAGCGAACTCTCGCCCGAATGCTAGTCATTATAGTCTCGTGTGGTTTCGGAATCGTTAAGTGAGTTTTGAAATCGTCTCAATATTATTCTTTGGTTACATTTTGTTTTGACTTTCAGGCCTCGATTGGGACCGATATTACATCGGGTCGTATGTGTCGGCAGTCTATACTTTATTCTCGGTTCACTTGAAGCCGTACTTCGGATATATAAGGTATTAAATGAGTGATGAAAAGCCCACTGAAGTGTTGTTTTGATTGAGTGTTAATACATCGGGTCGTATGTGTCGGCAGTCTATACTTTATTCTCGGTTCACTTGAAGCCGTACTTCGGATATATAAGGTATTAAATGAGTGATGAAAAGCCCACTGAAGTGTTGTTTTGATTGAGTGTTAAACTAATTGTTTTAAATGTTTAGCCAAAGAATGATCCGACGAATCAGACCTTAATGGCTGGCGTTCCGCTGGCAGTACTGGATTCAGTGATCTGTTGGTGGGTTTTCAGTAGTTTAGTGCAAACCACTCGTACATTACGTCTGCGGCGAAATGTGATTAAACTAAATCTCTACAAACAATTCACTAATACATTGATATTTGCCGTTTTGGGTAATATTTTTAAATTACATATTTGTCATTTAAAATATGTTGAAATTAATTTGTTTTTGTTAATCATGTTTAGCGTCGATTGCGTTTATGATATGGCAAATACACAATGTATGTCATAATTAATTGAATCGATTAGATTTTGTTTAATAGACATTTATATATGTTTAGCATAAACTGACACAATGTCTGACGGATTGGAAAGAGTTATGGGTAGACGAGGCCTATTGGCATCTCTTGTTCTCAGCTGTTCTGCTGGTGATTATGGTGCTCTGGAGACCAACCAATAATAATCAAAGGTTTGAATCACTTAATTATGTGGTATTAGAAAAGTAAGATTTGGGTTCTTTTAGATACGCTTTTACGCCACTTCTGGACGCCAGTGAAGACGAGGACGAGGACCGCGAGCAGCAGATTCCTCACGAGGCCTTTGGTTAGACACTAGTATTGATGTGAATTTGTTATGATTTTAAACTCTCTAATAACGCGATGTCTACCGTACTTTTACTCCCCAGTCTTGTTTCGCTTACCAGTAGTGTTGATGCTTCTCCACCTATTCCTACCCCAGTAGTCATTCCTCTGCCTCCTAGTGGAGTTCACCTAACTGGCCAATATCCCGACTTCAATGATGGACAACGCGCTGCCGGCGCTCATCGACTCCGACGAGGAGATAATGAATACCAAATTGGAAATGAGTAAAATGGAGTGAATTATAACACATTATTAATAAGTTATTAATAATAACGTAATTATTATTAATAATATCTAACTTATAATATAAAATCAGTTTTTATTTGCAATTCACGTATTTTTCTCTATCTCTTACATAACACTATTTTTAGTCAGCAATTCATTACAAACAAAATACTTGTATTTTAATTGTTAATTTGTATTCTTCGGAGTCCTAAACCATAATTTATTATTTTTTAGCGAATTTTTTAAAATATTGTAATTTAAAGTAACGACAAATAAAAATGTTATCAAATTATATATTCAAGTGATTGTATTGACCGAATAGCCACTCGAACTCGTCATTCGCAGTGGACTTGTGTTACCATAGGGTCTGCCTCTGAGACCGATACGTGTTTTTATTTTTCGGTTTTGATCTCACGTTTTGCTTTCAAGAGTTTAATGTAATCGCGAGTGTTTTGTACGGCCTTTGCGTTGATCTCGTCGTAAAAGTCTTTGAGTTCCTCTTTCACTCTTTCAATCCATTTGCAAACATTAATCCACGGACTCAGACGATAGTCAGTGGACTCGAGTAGCGAAAATCCGGCCACAATTGACACGTCGGCTAAAGAGATGCTATCACTGCATACGAACCGATGCTTAGCCACCATTGAGTCAAACAAATCCAGAGTTTCTTTCAATTTGTGTTCCTTAAGATCGTCGACATCTTTGTTGAAGAATATCGGACTCTATTCAGTGATGGGATTAAATGTTACGTTAAATTGTTGCCAAAGAAATGGTTGGCAGAGATTGAATGACAACTCACGATATAATTGGAAATACTTCTGTAAAGAGTTCCCAAATCGAAATGAAGAAGTTTGTCGATCGCGGCCCTCATCTCCGGATCGTCCGGATATAATGGATGTGAGGGACGGAAACGGTTGACCAAATACGTGATTATCGCCCGACTCTCCCATAAGACATACCCGTTGTCCACAATAGTGGGCACAGTATGACACGGATTGATGGCCACAAATTCCGGCGCCAATTGTTCCGATTTGGAGAGATCTAAACTCTTTAGATTGAAGTCGATGTCGAGTAGTCGGCCAACCATTAGGACCGCACGACAGGGAGGACTCTCCACCATATAATACAAGTCGATTGACATGTTTTATTCCGAATCTAATGCCGTGATAATGAAATATTTCTAATTTGACCAAGGTGTTAACAAATTGCTAAACACAAAAATAGGCGACGTTTGTCAAACATACAGGTGCTCTGATTACACTGACAGGCAATGTATGCGAGTATTTATCAGAGATGTCTAGTCTATGACACAAACTTTCCCAAACTTTTATCTGTGAGCGCATATCATATGAAAGTTTTTTCAACCAATCGTGTAATACCCGGAGTCTAGATTCTGGGCCCCCGAGTGGGCACATACTTTACACTTACACTCATTTTTAGGGCATTACTGTGCCTAAGAATATACTGCTTGTTTAAACTATATAATTTATCGCATGCACTAACTAGCCTACATCATTACGTTATGTTGTAAGGTTTAGAGATTTATATATGCCCAGATAATAAATGACCATGGTAACATTATTACGTTATAACATACATGTATATACGTGTATTTTACTGTTACTTATAATGTGCATTAAGGACGGGGGCAATAATACATACAATATATAACACACTATATGACACAAAATTCATTTGTTATCCCATCCCTGATTAATATTATTAATAATAGTTACACTATTGTTATGTAATTTGAGATAAAACATTATAACAATATTATATTTTACAAATATGTTTACTTATATTGTATATAATATAGCAAAACGAGCGAAGTTTGAAAAGAGTTTGAAAAAAGTTTTGTAAAATTCTTTATTTTCTGCTTCTCTTTGAAAAGAAAGAAAAGCGAAATCTCTTTTCGAAAACTAGTTTTTCAGGTATTTTCGCAATTATTAGTCTGTATTTCAATGACTTTAAGTTTAAATTTATTGCATTTTCGGCGCTAAAACAGAGTGTAATTCAGGGGAGGATTATAGCTATGGCTATGAATTTGTGATTTGTTTCATAAATCTTATGTAATACAGTATTTTATCAACTGGGTGAACCGATTGGGTTTTAGCATTTGGTTCACACAAACGATATATTCATACAACTGATTACATGTTAAAAGTGAGAATATGTTGTTGTTTCAAAAATATTGGTGAAATTGCTTGGTTTTTAAGCACTAGTGATCTCTTTATACTGTAGTTTAACTTTATGCTAAGGTTTTTTGGTTTTGTGTACAAAATAAATATTAATGCTGTGGGTTTTGTCACATAATATGTGGTTCACACAACTGATTGTATTGAATATAGTATAATATTAGCTCAATTTTGTTCACACAAATGATATGTTCACACAGTTGACGTTCACACAGTTGATACTATTTTAACATTGTGTCTATGGACTGCGGGTTTTGGTTATAGGGTTTGGTTCATACAAATGCTAAGTTCACACAACTGCTTGTTCACCCAGTTGATAAAACACTGTATTAACTAACTTATAATAATAAAATAATTTTAATTGCATTCAATTGAATGATTCCAACTATAATTGAAAACAGATTTCTTTATTAATTAAATAAATAAATTAATAATAAACAATTACTAAAACAGTAGATAAATGTCTGCATTCAGTGATTGGCGTTTCGATGGCTGATTGCCGGCGAGTCTTAATCTTAAAACATTTACCAAATATTAATATAAACTATAAGTAACAATGTTTGCCACAAGTGATTACATTTGCATAATATCTGACTCTAAATCACAAACAAAAACATTTAATTTTCATACTGTGCCTGAAATGTACGATACATTTAATGTAAAAACTATAAAATATTTTCAATGGCTGTGAGACAACATTTTTAGGTCTACTAATCAGTGTATTGTTCCCATCCATTGATGACATTCTGGATGCGTCTCCTCTCTCGATCCCAATAGGCGGTCGATCGGCCCAATTGGCGCAACTCTCGTATGCCCTCCCGATTGTCCACCACTGCCAACAACTCCCGTAACTCACGGATCACTTGTTGCCGATAAGCAAATTGGGCGACGAGCTGTTGGTCCGGAGCCAACTGCCAGCTAACCAGCGGCGCAATAAGATCTAGGCGCAAATAATATGTGATATAGAAATTGCGAGTTGGTTGCAATCGTTCCCACTCTTCGTCCTGTTCCGTGACTTGAGCCTGACTTGAGTGGCCGTACGGTTGCGACGGTCCGTTGTCATCGCTCACATCGCTATCGGTATTGTAAGCAAATAAATCCTTAATTAGTTGCTTGTGGTCACTCTTGTGCCGTTTGCTCCGCGATGATCGGCTCCCAGTGGCGTAACTGGAGCTGTGAGTCTGAGGTGAATGCCCTAAAAGTCCCGACTGATTAGTCTGGCCGTACAGTTGCGATGGTCCGCCTCTAGTGTCAGAACCTGAACCCTGAAGTGCTGATTGGTTGCGTTCAAATTCTTCCAAGAGGTGGGCATACAAACCAACCGATCCCTCGGGTAAGTGTAGCTGTGGTGCGTTACCGGGTGACTGGTCTGACTGGCCGTACAGATGCGATGGTCCGCCTCCAGCGCCACAACCCGAGTGCCGAGTCTGTGACGACTCGCCCAAAAGGCCAGATTGAAGCGGTGGACGTATTGGCAGCTGAGACGCCTGAGTGAAGGGCACCGCTAGTTCATCGGTCTCGTCGTCCACATCTATGACTTCGATGGCTTGGGGTGGGGCCGGCAGGTGGGCCGGTTCGTTATAGTCGGGCAAAGCTATGCCAACCATTCGGACGACCGTTTCACACCAATTCTCGTACATATCGAAGTCGGCCCGGGAGTTGCCCTCTGACACCTGGCGTTGCCTGAGATGCGCCAAATACTGGTTCGCCCGGTGCTCGTACTCGAGTCTCGCGGCCAGATCGGCGATGTGATTGTAGGTGACGACTCGCGTATCGTACAACACCGGGACGCGGCCATCGGGGGCCTTGTCATTGGTGACCCTATTGGAGCGCCTGTGCGCGCCCTCCACCTGACGCTCATTAGTGATTTGGCACGCGTTGCGAATCGTGGCCAACGCGTCGGCGCGTTTCCTCAGGTTCGAGCGCACACTGGTCTGCATCTTATGTACGCCCGACCGGTCAGTTTTGCCGGCCATGTTCTTCACGTAATCAGCGCCGGCACTGTATGTTTTTGATACAAGTTTCTTATAGTCTTCTATAAGATCTTCCCGCCGGTGCAGCCGCACAGCCGCCGCCCATTGGGTCCGATAGGCCAGTGTCCACACCTCGTGGAACAGATAGTCAAACACTTGCGGCGGTACGTATTCGACGCGATAGTCCTGCCGTCGGAACTGTGGCCGCAAGTAGTGCTCATACTGTGCGGACCGGTCGGCCACTTGTGTAGCCCTCTGCATGCACTGGTCGTAGTGATTCTTCTTGAGGCTGTAACCCTGATGTTGTCTAAAACGAGATTGGTGGTGGTATTCAATGAGTTTGCTTTCATGGTACTGACTGGTCACCCATTGTGCGGGTGGCAGTTCTGGCGGGTCCGCTGGTGTCGGACCCGTTTTCTGCTTCTTTCCCTTCTTCCTGTCCTGATCTCCCATTGGGTCTCAAATTTTGTGTTTTTTGTTTCAAAATTTTAACGCATACTTTATTTAAAATTAGCATTTTATTTTAATTCACATATTGTTTGCTTATTTGCTTTAATAAATAATTACGATAGTTGTAATTTTAAAATAGAAATATATTTATTGTTCAAAATCATGATTAATTAAAATAATTACATTTTGTTTAGTGATCAATAATTATAAAATCTATAAAACATAATAATAAATAGATTTATTTTGTAGAAAAAATTGATAAAACGACGATTTCTCTAAAATATAAAACAAATGTTTAAGTATTTAATGTTTGAAAATGTTATTAATTTAATTATTCCTAAACATAAATCAAATGTGTCACACAATCAAAAAATATTAAACAAAAATTTAATTATGACTAGTTCAATTATGTACTAAATTATACATTTATGCGTAAATTACCAAGTAAATGCATTGCATATATAATATATTATTTATACAGAATATTCTTAATGCAAACATTAAATGACATTTAAGTAAATGTCAGCAAATTAAAGCAGACAATAAAATTACAAAATAAATAAAAACACAAACAAAAACATTTAATTTAGATATTGTGTCTGAAATTTACGGCTCATTTAATACAGAAACTATAAAATAATTTCAATGGCTGTGAGACAACACTTTCAGGTCTACTAATCAGTGTATTGTTCCCATCCATTGATGACATTCTGGATGTGGTTTCTCTCTCGAACCCAATAGGCGGTCGAACGGTTCAATTGGGTCAACTCTGGTATGCCCTCCCGATTGTCCACCACTGCCAACAACTCCCGTAACTCACGGATCACTTGTTGCCGATAAGCCGGTTCGGCGACGAGCTGTTGGTCGCGAACCAACTGCCAGCTCACCAGCGGCACCATAAGATCTAGGCGCAAATAATATGTGATATATTTCTCCCGAGTTGGTTGCACTCGTTTCCACTCCTGGGGCTGTTGAGTGACTTGAGCCTGATTTGAGTGGCCATACGCTCCCGTCGGTCCGGCGCTAGTGGGGGGACGCCATAAGCCTTGAGTCTCTTTTTTACGCGTCGACCGAATCGGGTCAATACGAATCCACTGACTGTATTGTTGCCATCCATTGAGACAATTCTGGATGCGATTTCTCTCTGCGCCCCAATCGATGGGTAATTGTGCGAACTCAGGTGTGAGGCCCCGACTGTCCACCACTGCCAACAACTCTTCCAACTCAGCGATCACTTGTTGCTGATAAGCCGGTTCATTGACCAGATGTGGGTCCGCAGCGAACAGCGAGACTAATGGCGTTTCAAAACCATTGTTCAAATTTTCCATATATTGCCGTTGAGTTGGTTGCAGTCGTGGCCACTGGTTGCGCTGTCCGGTGGTGTTCGCCTGATTAGTCTGGCCGTACAGTTGCGATGGTCCGCCTCCAGTGTCAGAACCTGAGCCCTGAAGTGCTGATTGGTTGCGTTCAAATTCTTCCAAGAGGTGGGCAAACAAACCAACCGATCCCTCGGGTAAGTGTAGCGGCCGTGCGTTATCGAGAGACTGGTCTGACTGGCCGTACAGATGCGATGGTCC